GGGGGGCTGGGGGGCTGTTAAGAGGCACGAAAATTCCTGCGACTCAGTGGAACATAGCATTCCTTTTAAATTAGGGTCAATTTTCAATTTGCAGTTTATTTTTGTACTGATTAGAGCGTGACTCGCATGTTAATGATTATTACAACAGAACAAAATAACCTTCGCATGTAATATCTCACTATCAATAAGACGACAAAAGATTGAAGAACTTTCAGAGGTGAACGTGAATTTGCAGATTTTGTGACGCATTTGTGGGTTACCAAGTCAAGTCGAAGCTCAATATTACCGGATACTTTTATTATTCATCACTTCTCAGGTATAAGAGTACTTGAAAACAAGTCAAAGAAATGTTATTCATTGACGGTAGGATAGCAAGCTCTTGTAAGATTCATAAATATTACGGCTGAGAGTGTTAATTTAACGCATGGTCGAAACGCTCGAGCTCTTGGGTAAATAATGTTAAAACTACGTCAAAAATCTCACGCTTTTGTTTCGTAACAATCTTATTGTGTTTTTGTCTCATACAGGGAAGCCATGACAGCCGTAAATAGCGTGATCCTGTTGCTCTTTACCACCTATTGGTATAACTTTGGTTCTTGCGAAAGCTTAGGAATAGCGGAATGCTGCAAGAGCTGTGTTGCAAAGGTAAGGAACTGTTTCCGCACTTATCGCAACATTGTTACGACAAGTGTGGTCATTCCTGAATTGTGAACGTCCATTGTGTTCAAAATTCTGCATATTGCATCGGAACATAGAAATATTTCCGAGAACAAGTTGAATATTTAATCAATCGGCATTCTTGTTAGCAAGCGATCAAAGTGTGTAATCTCAGGGTAAAATTTTCCGCATAGTCCCATACTATTGCTAAACAAATCTGTTTTCGCAATGGCAATGTATTGTTTTTGTCGTTGTTTTCTCTACTCAAGAACTAAATGCATAATGTAGAATGAGACTGCGGAAATTTTACCGATCTCAGTTACAATCTTGATGTTTGATGTTTCCATAACGCTGGTCGACTTGGCGGACGTTAAGAGTAATTAACTATAGTTTTTTAGAGCGACAGGAATTAGTGACTTTGATCACGTTCGACTGAAACGTGACCCAGGATGTAGTGCAAGAGGAAACGTAAACAAAATCGATATCTTTAGTGAAAACGTTACATACGACTGTTATCGATTTTAAGTCAGAGCTTTGAGAATTTATGAGCAATACCAAGTGACAAAAAAGTCGGTTCGGACTGATATTCCGTAATTGTGACTCATGAATAGACACAACAAAACAAACAGAACATTCTGTGAAATAATTGACATGCCTTTCAAAACTATAAGACAGTTTTATTCCCGGGTTCATTTGCTACTTCTGGTTCTCGACAAAGGAAAGCTCAGCTTCCTTAAATTATCATTTCCTAGAAACTCTGACTGATCGGGAATTTGAGTTAATTAGAAAAGCATCTTAATCATGCCCAACAGCCGTGACATTAACATGAATTTCATATAGAAATTAGTAACAACAAAAGACGGGAATGAACGTACCTGGCTGCTCTGAATAATTTTGCTAAAATGTTTTTATTTCTTGGTTCTGGACATTATTGAAACAGAAATCGCAAATTGTCTTGAATGATGTTCATTTTTGTTTGAGTAAACAAGTGGGATAGAAGATGAAATGATAAATCATTTTCGCCTGTCCCGGAGATTGGTTATTTGAATTTTGTTGACATTTCCATCAGTAACATTTTGTTTGCAGAGACTACGGTCACGCTCACAAAAATTCATGTGATGATCAATTACAGGCCGGTATCATTCAATATCTGATTGCTTAGTTCCACGGTTGTATGCAAAAAAATTCATTTTTTACTTCCGGTTTTCAATTTTCCTCGTTACCTTCTTTAGGGTACCAAAATTTGTTGCCAAGTTAAAATACTTATTTCTTCATCTGTGTTTACGTATTTCAAATTGAAACCAATTTCAACTTACGGAGAAATTTCAAGGTACAACACAGTTCATATGGCATTAAACAGACACCATGATAGTGAAAGCGTCAAGGCATGTCTGTTTTTGGAAAACAGGTGTTATTGCAAAAATGTTGCCACTTGCAAGAATTTTAGGCCATAATTTGAGCTCTTAAGAAAAACGAAGTTAAATCACGTTTTTAAAATTCTTTCTTTTAAGATTTCAGACAAGCAACTTTGCAGTGCAACGTGTACCCAGTTGATTCCGGTAAATTCTTCCCAGGGTAAGTATGAATGATGATTTTTTTTTTTCGATATTTTTAATTTCAGATGTCACTGACGGAAACCAAGTAGTACCGCAGTAGACGTCCAAATAAAACTTAACAAGATGTAAATGTTGACCTTCCCTACAAGCAGTGCAAATAAAAAAAGGGGAAAAATGGAAGCATCATCGACGAATGCCCAGCTTCCGGAAACGTTTCAAATTTATTTTTATTAAGTTGGTAATTTTTTTTGTTAGAAAGATGTCTAACATTTGTCTGAATATTGAACAAAACAGAAATGTAGTCACGAAAGGTTTTGAAAATCTGGCGAAATCCGCTTCACTAACTCTTTAATTCCCAAGATCTGATCGTTAATTCTCCTCTCTGGCTGCAATACATCTCCCTCTAAATTAGTTATGAGAATTTCGTTTCGATCAAGATAACAACTTCTGCCTGATTGGTTTGCATATTTTCATCAACTGTTTGCTGGATAAGGAATGGATGTTTTGGGGAGAAGTTACAAGTTGATCGCAGCCAGGAGTTAAAGGGTTTGCAAATGCCATGCAGAGAAATTGATAGCAATCGAGCTACACCATACATTAGGTCGTAAACGATAATCGTCCTGCATACCTTTAAAACGTTTTTTTTTTTTTCACCGTACTCTTTTGAAGCAAGCAACATCACAACAGTACCACCAGTTCCAGATGCTCCCATTTTGCTTTCGTCCGGTTATTTCACTTTCACACTGGACTGGAGAAGTAACAGCCACACCAAGTATAATGCCACACCTGTGGTATACGTCCTGGAGGTCACACGTCATACAAACATCACTGACCCATTTATTATTTTACCACACATACAGAAATATCATACGGTAAGTAGTTACGCCTATTGGTCTTTAATAGCATAGATAAAGGTGATCATTTGAACTCGAGTGCGAGCACGTGTAAAGTTTTCATACCTTTAAATTTCTTTAGAAATCATGTTCATTAATCTTAAATTATCTTGCAGACGACGAACACCACTGTTACCATCCCAGAAGAATTTGTTACAAAAATAGCTAACTTCTCGTTCCGTTTAGCGGCAGTTTCATTCTGGGGAACATCAGATTTCTCGACTTCAAGTCCTCTGTACCAAACAAACAGTAGGTCGAAAATCCTAAATCCTAGTCGATACTTCAGATTCATAAAACCCTTAAAGCAAAAGGGAAACGTTGGAGCACACAAGAATGGATTGTACGCGACAAAAATGAAAGAGAAATATAGATCAGTTATCATTGATGTTTGATCAGTTTGGTTTGTTCACGTTTTCTAAACTTGTTAAAGCTTAGCTCAAGTGATTGCTTCTTTTCACAGTAAGACCGACTAAGTATGGTAGAATCTGTATCTTGAAAAGTTTGTAGGTAATAACGGAATGCAGCAAACAAACAAACAAGCAAACAAACAGAACAAAACAAAAAATGTCGCCAGTTCAAAGGCTCTTGACTGAACACGTTGATGTAACAAATTAATAAATTACGTAGTGAAACGTAGTAAAACGAAAACGTAGTACGTAGTAAAACGAATTTTTGTTGCTGTCTATTGTCCACTCAGGTTCCTGTCCAAAACTGAAGAGATTTTCCCCTGGAAATATCACTCGGTTTTATCCATGCAGGATGTTCAATGTTCGCCTTAACTTTACGGTAGTACCGATCCCATTTGAAAGACCAAAAGTGTTCACCTCTTTGTACTGGGAGTTCCCACGTGGTAAGTTCAAACAAGTAACTAAAAAAACTAAGAGGCAAGTTTAATATTTCATGTTGCCGTCAGAGAAGGTTATATAGCTCAGAACATAACGTGTTGTATCAGATTATATTATAATGCATTACGTCTCGACATGATCGTAAGAGACAAATAATGTTGGACTTGAGCTATGATTACATAATGTCGTACCACGTACCACTACTGTCTGTTTTTGTGTGTGTGTTTCTTCTTCTTTTTATAATAATTTTTTTGAGGCGTTGCTCGTCCATTCCATGGATCAGTCAATTTCTCATTTTTATTAGCACTTAAAGTGTAAAGACCTGAGGCTTGTTTGACATCGACAAGGCGATATGTATCATAGCTTGACCATTGTCACGCTATGTCACGCTAGGTCGCGCCAAGCCACA